AGCTCAGGCTAAGAGCTAAAAATGGCAGTGTAAATACCTGGGCTGGGGTTTGGGCTCTGAACCTTATGAGGAGGGATGATCTCAACTCTCTACAGAGCTATTATTAGCCCTACCAGGCTCTGAGACTTGGTGCCCTTGGTTTTATTGCAATGTAAATGTACCCTAAGTGCATGTGGGGGCACCACAAAGTTCTACCCTCCCCCACCCACAATAGCTTGTCTTGTCTCCGTTCACTTGCAGCTACTGCAGGACACCTGGACTGCTACCACAGCAGTAGGCAAACAGCTATGAGGTAGGAGAGCCAGGCGCCTCTGTGAAACACCAGAGAGGGGTCAGCATAGTAGGTCAGGTGGTAGTAAGCAAGAGGATGGAAGGATTGAGGAAATGGGAGTACATAGTTTGTGGATTTCCTTTTTTGGTGAGTACAGGAAAAGAGTGGAGCTGATGGACGAGTAATTCAGACAGGGATTTTCACATGTTTTGCTAAGGTGGTAATTTTGTGAGGCAACCTACTTTGGCAGCTCATTGATAATGGCATAAATCCACTACCAGTTTCTCCACCTCATCCAAATGTATTGTACCAGATAGGATTGTTCTGATGTTTAACTGAGCCAACCAGATGCTCCATTGTATTAGCAAGAGCCCATATGACTTGCAGCCAGCCGCACATGCTGCTCCCCCAAGAGAGTTGTTTTATCCATGTTAATCTAATAGTATACTATGCCAGTTCTGACACTTCCGGATTCTTCTTTAGTTTCATTAAAATCCCTTTCGATATTTTAATACACCCTCTGAGCTTGAACATTTTACTGACTTTTCAGAAAAGCTTGAATATATTATGTTTCCTATATCCCTGGCCTGCACTTCATTTTCAAGAGTTTTTATGTCAAGATAGAACTTTTATTTATCAAGAATTTATCTGCTCTTGTTGCTTATTACTGGGGGCCAATCCGTGAAGTGCTAAATTGGTTTAAAAAATTGGTTATTCAGGTAAAATCGGTGGGAGTTTTGCTCTGCCTAAGGGTTGGGTAAGAACAAAGTAAAGGGTTCAAGACCTGGTTCCACTCAAAGTCAGTGTTGTGCTGGATTTTATTTTATTTATATTACAGTGGGGCCTAGGACACCAGTCATGGAGCAGGATTCCATGACGCTAGACACTGTACAAACAGAGAACTAAGACAGTCACTGCCCCACAGAGCTTAGCAGAATTACCAGCTGTGGAATGAGAGGTTGCGGGTGAGGACATGTATATTGTTAGTTTACAATTTTAGCAGGAAGCCAGATAAAGAGAGAAGTTGCAAAAGGTTCTAGGCAGAAGCCCCACAATGAAGCAGAGGGGGGAGAGAGAGAAAGATGAGGAGTTTTTCCTTATCCTGTTTTCCTCATTTCCAACACTGAAAAAGGAGCGTTATGAAAGACAGTGAATTTTTCTGTGATGCTTCCCTATTGATCACGTGACATAGAGGATATAATGACAGGAGCATCACAGCAGGAGGCGGCAGTAATAACAGGGGAGTGGGGTAAAGGGAAACAATGATCAATAATACTTTGCACTTCCATAGCATCTTAATGTATTTTACAGGCATTAAATTAAACCTCTTATTACTCTGGAAGGAGTCCAGGGAAAAGGTAGAGAAAGGCAGAGGAAGAATAGGATATGGCTCTGGCTTTTCTTTTTTTAAGCACATTTTTTGTATTTTTTTGGAAACATTAAATCATCTGTGAATAAAGAAACCAGAACAGCAGTGTTTTGAGTGAAAACATATAGGCTTGCTGAATGAATGCATCAGCAGTCACTCATTCAGTTTCTGGTTTGCCCTTGTGGTTCTCCCCTATCGAACAATCAAGTAGAAGGCTAGGGCCACATTTTTAAACACAGCCTCTCATTTTGCCCCTGACATTTTGTAAGTTTAAATGCAATTGCTTGAGCTTGCAGTTTTGTGATTCCAGTCACTTGCAGATGTACACACTTGATTTGAGACCTCCAGCTATTGGCCCTCTAAACAGCTAGCTGTTTATCATGTGCATCCAAAATGTATTGTGGGTGCAAAATTGGAAGTTGCATTGAGGAATTATTAGAAATTTAGCCCACAGACACAAGTCATGTTTAAATTGCAGTCCTTCTTAAAACGAATGCAGTCTGTATATAGCTAGCTAAATTGGGAATAGAATTCTTTTCTTCCTGTGATAAGTTAAAGAGCACAAACGTTATAATCAAAGCAAACTTAATATATAATGTAGCCTCAACATACTAATGAGGAATAGTGTTAAACTTTGCTATAAGCAATTTTCTATGTTTATTTGTAAACTGATGAAATTAAAGTCTCAGAGGGGCAGCTGTAGCTTAGTCTGTAACTTTAAAAACAATGAGTAATCCTGTAGCACGTTAGACACACACACACACACACAGTATTATGAGCTTTCGTGGACAAACCGCACTTCCTCAGATGACCAGAGATGTCTCGGCTCATCTGAGAAAATGGGTTTTGCCCACAAAAGCTCATGATACTATATATATATATTTTTGTTAGTCTTTAAGGTCTACTCGTGATGAAATTAACACACTGGCCAGAAGGTGGCATTAGCAACATTACATTTATTTGATATTCAAAGCTGCACTCAACCTACATGCAATTGCTTTCCTGAATACCCAGAAACACCTTTGTCTTTATTTTTTTCAATCCCGTATTGTTACGTATCAAATACAAACCATTTTGTTCATTCTCGAAGGAGAAGTGGAGATTACTATAAATTACCACAAGATACTGCAAATTCTATTTGCAAAAGACTGCAAATCCTGAAGTAACTGTATTAATTCCCATCTGAAAGAGAGAGACTGAGTGGATATCAGAGTCTTTATTATTTAGGGATCTTCTCCATCACTATTAATGGCATCCTTCTAGGTTATTCCCTCCTTCTCACTGAAACAATAAAAGGTTCCAAGCCAGTAGCTATCATACTTGTGGGTGAGAAATGCTGGATGAGTAATACTGCCCTAAGAGTTGGCTGTTGAATGGCTGGAGGTACATCCTCACTAACCCAAATCACTGTACGGTTCTCTGTGCGTGTGGGGTGTGCGTGCATACACACAAACACACATTTTCTTCATGGCACCGACTACTACTGAACTGACCAAAGACGTTTATTCTTAAAGATTAATTTGTAATTGGTTTAAGCCTAATTAAGATGGTATTATAGAGTACAGGCAGTCCCCGGGTTACGTACAAGATAGGGACTGTAGGTTTGTTCTTAAGTTGAATCTGTATGTAAGTCGGAACTGGCGTCCAGATTCAGCTGCTGCTGAAACTGATCAGTAAGCAGTTATAAATACAGGCAGTCCCCGACTTACGTCAGATCCGCAGTTACGAACGGGGCCCGTCTCCCTGGTCTCCAGCAGACCAGGGAGAGGAAGCAAAGCAGCGGAGCACGCGGGCAGTGGACAGCCCAGACGTGTCTGGGCTGTCCGCTGCCCGCTTGTTCTTAAGTTGAATCTGTATGTAAGTCGGAACTGGCGTCCAGATTCAGCTGCTGCTGAAACTGATCAGCGGCTGATTCCAGGAAGCGTCTGGGCTGTCCGCTGCCCGCGTGCTCCGCCGCTTTGCTTTCTCTCCCTGGTCTGCTGGAGACCAGGGAGACGGGCCCCGTTCGTAAATGCGGATCCGACCTAAGTCGGATCCGCGTAACTCTGGGACTGCCTGTATTTATAACTGCTTACTAAATGATTCAGTATGATAAATCACTATAGCAGTGTGTGGCACTGTGGATAATGGTATGCTAAACAAAACACACAGTTTTACTGATATTAAGGACAAATTAAAAATTTAGTAACACCCCTCCAATGCACTACTGCCCTAAGGCATTCATTCATTTCATTTTTGGCACTTAACGATTAACAGTGTAAACTATCAATATGCTATGCACACAATAAAATTACTTTGAAAAGGTCTAAGCTCTCTCTTTTCAGGAGCACTTTACCAGAATGTGCGTTGCTAAATATGAGAAAATGGATAACGAATGCAATAAATGGCTGAAAGCTGAAGCTAGACAAATTCAGACTGGAAATAAGACATACATTTTTTATGGTGACAAGAATTAACCACTGGAACAATTTCCCAAGGTCGTGATGGATTTTTCATCACTGACCACTTCAAAAAAAATCCAGCCTTGATTTAAAACAATCTGCTCCAGGAATTATTTTGGAGAAGATCTGTGACCTGTGGTATGCAGGAGACCAGATTAAATTATTACAACAGTCCCTTCCGGCAGCAGAATCTAGGAAAATCAGGACCATGTTGTACATACAGGAAAAATCATAGAGCTTAGAGCAAGAGATTAGGAATTGAAACTCATGGATTTTGGTCCTTTTCTGCTACTTACTGGCTGTGCGATATTGAACATCTCTCTTACAACTTGATTTTCAAAGAATCAGTCCATCAGTTCCCTCATCAGTAAAATAGGGTTACTAACACTAGAAAACCTTGTAAAATGCAACACCATCTTTCAATGAAATAAATGCACAATACGTGCAAACAGCATTATAAATGCTCCACTATGAAAGCAACAATTTGGGCAAATGTTTCCACAGTGAAAGTTATTCCTTACCATCATAACAAACATGTTTCCTTGCTAGTTCTGCCTACTCATTAATCAAGTACACTTCACACAACATCCTGGTTTCAGAGGAGAGAGCCTAGAGCACTTCTCTAATAAGTTTCACAACAACTTTTTAAAGAGGATATGTAAGTGTTTGCAAGGACTTTCTATGAAACTAGGCAGCCTTTTGAGCTAGTCCTCAAAGTGTCTGCAGTTCTTAGTTAAATGTCAGGTTGAAAAATGTTACTGAGCAAAGCAAGTTATAATTGTCTGGATACAGCATGAAATTCCAAGAATTGAGGGGGAGGGCAAGGGGAAAACTGATCTGTTGTCTTTTCCTAGCTCATTTTTAGCAGCATAAAGTATTTACAAAACGGTCCAAAGTAAAGTCTAAATGTAGGTGGTACCTGTCCTGGATTCAGTGTAATCACATGGGCGTGGGCTTTCCTGAACATAGGAAAGAGTTTCAGATCAGGGTTGACCACGTTGACTTTGCTGAATATGCTGGATTCTTCATAAGGGATCCTAGTGGGATAAAGGAAAGTGGTATCCCCAGGTGGGAAAAGGTGCCATCTTTTCCTGAAAGGAGAGAGAAGATAAAAGTGGATTCAGTACATGTCTATTATGATGGATGACTGAAAGCAGTCACATGGTTTTCAAATCTGCCTGCTGTTTGAGTCTCCTACACAGTAAGAACACATGCCGTTCTTACAGTCTGTTCTACTAAAATGGTTTAAGAAAATTCGACAGATTTTTTTTAACCAAAAAGGAAGATTTACAGCTTCTCAACAACTTGTTTTGCAAGGGGAATAGGAAGTCTATAGCTCTTTCATTAGAGCACTTGAATAATCTACAAATACTCCGGGCAACTCTACACTACAAAATTAAGTCAACTTAAAGTATGTCAATGTATAGCCCACTGAAATAATTAAATCAGTTTTGCATGGTCACACTAGCTCCTTCTGTCAGTGGTGCATATCCTAATCGGGAGAGTTTGCACAGATTTAACTGTAATCATGGGGTACTGACAGCCTGAGCCCTGGGCAGTGGGTCTATGGCTGTCAGGTGGAACACTCTGAAGTAAGCAACATAGTGTCTACACAGACACTGCACCAACTACTCCTCCTCTCAGAAAGTGGAATTATTAAGTCAGTGTAGTGGGTGACTTATATTGACGGGAGTAACATTATAGTATAGATGCGTACAGAGTTCTGCCTCAAAATGTTCAATGCCCGATGTTTGTCCTATGAATCATGATCTATGGGTGAAGATTAAATTTTATTAGGAAAATATTTTTTGATTCACTAACTGTCTGCAATATCCCTGCTTGCTATAAGTAGAGGGCACAATACGTATGTGATGTTGATAGTAATACGAGTACAATATTGATATTCTAATATGTGTTGTCTACATTTCTTATATTCTTCTGTTAATCCCACAAAGTTAATTATTTAATTCACTATTCCATAACAACGTGGTACTCATCTACCATAGTTATAAATATGGCATAAAGACCAATAGGTTAGCTAGATATGCAATTAGCAAAACAAGATGGGAGAGGTAATATCTTTTACTGGATCAACATCTATTGCTGAGAGAGACAAGCTTTTAAGCTTCATGGAGCTCTTCTTCAGGTATGGGAAAGCTATACAGTGTCACAGTTAAATGTAAAGTGAAAAGGATTATTTAGCAGAGCTAGTTAGTTAGTTAATACCAGTGAAGTATCTAACTGGCCCTTGGCGGTGCACGAGGGGTCACACCAGGCATAGCGTCCAGCTCTTTATAGAAACGGCAAGTTTTGCATGCAGCACTAGAGCAACTGTTTGCCTCCATCTCTTTAAGGTCTGCCTGCCTCAGCTCCTTTATCTTCGATTTGTACTGCAGCGTATCCTGATCGTAGCCCTTTTAGCACAAGCCTTGAGAAACGTGCTCATAAGCATCCCTATAGGTCAAACGCAGCTGGGACTGCACAGCCTCTTCTCCCAATATACCAATCAGATCCAACAGCTCCACAGTGGTTCAAGCTGGAGAATACTTGGTGTGATAGCCAGATATGGTCACCTGGGAAGATGCAATGGAGGCAGTAAGAAATGGAATTTAAAAATTCCCAGGGCTTGCAGAGGGAGAGGCGGATGGTTGCTTACCTGGCTGCAGGGCAGAGCAGCAGAGTTCAAAGTGCTGACCAGGGAGGCCAGGAAAGGCATTGTGGAACACTTCCTTGAGGTCACATAAAGTGATTAAAGCAGCCATGATGTAGGGATGCGAATGTTTAACTGGTAAGCCCCTCTCTTAATAGGTGAAGTTTACCATTTAAGGAGCAGCTTTGGGCCCTGGCCGGAGCAGCCTCTGTCTGCTTGGTGCCCCGGAGGCAGCAGCTGCTCCAGCCCAGCCAATGCAGCACCTGCTTGTGGCGGGGGGCCAGTCCAGCCCCCCATCTACATCCACCCTTTAATCAGTTAACTGATTAACCAATTAAACAGGATTTACATCCCTAGCATGGGGTCTTCACTGGCTCTTTGTCTCTAAAAAAATGTATAGGAAAAAGACAAAAGTCTCTTGTGGGGGTGGAAGTATTTTGTCGTCAAAACTAGGCATTTTTCCTGACAAAAGTTACATTGCAGTGTGTATGTACTCACTGTTTTATCGCCAAGTATAGACAAAGCTGTACTGTTGTTCTGGTCATTGGGAACTTACTTCTGAAGATGAGCTTGGAGTGATAGTGTGGAGTTGTTTGACGGCCAGAAGAAATGGTTTAGGAAAGACTTATTTCAAGATGGGGGTCACAACTGAATATGGGTTGTAGTTGCTCAATGATACCCTGTATGGGGTGTTGTGTGAGGTGGCAGGTGAAGGCTAGGGGTGTGGTCAAAGGGGTTTTATTTCTGTGTTGAAGTAGATTCTCTCAGGGTAGGTGTTAATGAGACACTCATCCTTGAATGGTTCCTAGTGTGTAATATCTATGCTAAACAATCTTTTCCACTTTGTATTTAGCTGTGACACTCAGAGTATTTTTCTAAGACCTGAAGAAGAGCTCTATGTAGCTCAAAATCTTGTGTCTCCCTTCATCAGAAGCTGGTCCAACAAAAGATAATACCTCACCCCCCTCGTCTCTTTGATATCTCTAATATCTTGGGACCAATACAGCATATGCGATTAGTAGTTAGATCTATATTCAATGTTGTCGGCATAAGTGTCAGACATCTCTAATAGCTAGTTCATGTAGTGGATAAGAGCCTACTTCTGCTCCCAGCTAATGGAGCTAATATATTAACCTGAGTAGTAGAGAACTGTGCTTTGGAGTGCAAAGACCCAAGCTCAATCCCTATCTATGACCAGAGGTACAGGTACTTCTGCACAGCATTGTGCATGCTGATAAAATAACCTAGGAGATCTGAACCATATCCCGAGGAGTTTGCAATCTATTTAAACTGCACATGCTGCACTGAAAAATGTTGAGTTTGCCAGACTTTGGAGCATAAGTTTTATGTATAATATAAATAAATCTTCTTAGCAGGTAATTTCTACATATATTTTTCCATAATGCTGAATGGCTAATATATGAGGCGAAGTAAACAGGCACATAAATAACAATTTGTAAGGAGAGTACATTATGTGATGGAAATAACCAGAGCAGGAGTAATTAAAGTAACAGCCCAAATGGTGAATTTATGAAATGTTTTAAGAGTAGCCAACTAATCAATACAGCAGTGACCCGCATGTTTACTGACACCATGGACTGGAAAAACAGAAGGCAGCGCTATGAAGCAAGGTTAGAACAATCTGTGCTGCTCCCCTCTGACTTCCAGATTCTGGCTGCT